TCTTCTTGCGTGCAAGATCTGATATCTAAAAAGGTGACAGCGTGAAAGCAATAGAAAGCAGGGGCATCACTAGGACGTACATTCCAAAAGAGTGGAATCACTCTTTGGAGGTCTTGCTGAGCGGAGGAGGCAACTTCTTGACTGAGACAAGCATAGATCGACACCAGGGAATCAGTCACTGTTTGAACTTCTGATTCAGCAATGCCAAAGGTGACACAGCATCGGTCCGTCGCTCCAAGCTCTGTATGGAGAGGGGGGTCATGCGTGTAAACACGAAACCGAAAGACTCCAGGCACGGCAGTAATTGCAGCTTGGATCTGAGGCGTGAAGGACTTGCTGGAACACAGCCATGTTTCTGTATATTCCAGACTTGGCGAGAAGACTTCAAAGCTATTTACATTACGATTGGCATTGAGTGCAACAAAATATGTAGCTTTGGTAAAGGTGCGCGAGCCTCCATTTTGTGCAAATTCAAAGCTTTTGTATTTGCTAATTCGCTGTATGTGAGCTCGATGTCTTTTTAGCGAAGTGCAGACTCCAATCGTTAGGTCAACACAAGTAGCACTCAAAGTGCACTCATGAAAAAGAAGCACATGTCGTAGTTGAGAGCCTGAGTGGTAGAGTTGCAAAATGATATCTTGCAATCGACTTTGTATTCCATAAATGACAATGTCTATTGGATGACTTCCAGAAGCGGCAGCACAAACATTATTGTACTCATCTTCTCCAACTATGAAAAGATTTCGGCTAAAACGGACTGTGTTGATCATGCTAGGGAAACGACAGAGAAAAAAGATACGAGGTGAAGCAGCTAAAGAAAGTCTGCTGAGCTGTGAGAAAATCCCTTTTGCCTCAAAAGAATCGAGGATATCATCATAAATAAATTGAGAAATCGTACAAGAGACTTCTTTAGAAACCATCCTTGGAGACAAATAAAGCCTGCAACAAAGATCGAATGGTGTCTAAGGACACCCTTCGAGTGTGCTTGCGAGGAAAGACAGCCAAAACTGCAATCAAATGGAGTCTAAGGACCCCACTTGAGATTGTACGGTGTCTAAGGACACCACACAATTGCAAACAAAATGAGTATGCTCAAGCAAAAAACCCTTAAGCACAGACTAAGAAGAACCTAACTACGCGCGCCGGCCCGGAGAAAACTTCTTCTCTTTAAGAAGTCGTCTTGAACCTCCTTGCTCAACGGCTTTTGCCGCGAGTTTGAGCCGAGATGCCTTGAGCCAAAGGCTACGGATCTCTTCTTTCCAATCGACTCATCAACCACTCGTAGGTTCCTCGGCCATCACCACTTGCACTGAACGGCAACATAGTTTCGCCAGATTTCCTCCACGAACATGCCACTCACAAAATATGAGAATGCATTACATCTCAAATTCTCGCCCATCCACACTTCCTCCATAACGGCGACGAAATCGCGAACACGCGCTCAGAATAGAACTTGCATTCATTCCGAATCTCCAAACCTCCATGGCTCTGCCAATAAGACCTTCTGATCTCCGATTCCGATCTTCTCTTCAAGAGACATTCTCTTCAAAAGACATTCGACCGACCTCGAAAACCTCAGACTCATCATGAAACCTGTCTAGTGCTCATCTTCCAGCTCCACAGATATTCCGCGTGAAGAAATTCCATGTCGGGATGTCCACCTCGCTCGATGCTTGCAGTTTGCGATGCATAAATTTCGTTTAAGTTTGTTTGTGAAAGATTTGAACCTGGCGGCAGCATAACATTTTGTTTCTTAATTGTTTGAAAGCGACTTGCAGCGCAGTCGGAAGTTTTGAAAGAGTTCTTTGCGTGTGGAGATGCTTTAAAAGACTGTTAATATGTTTTTCGTGTATTCTTTGCATAGTTTAGTGCTACGGGATATGTTTTGGCTCAAGGCCAATTCGTTTGGCTAGTGGAGAAAAGGGTGCGAGTGTCTGAGAGCAGCTAGTGCAGCGTTTGAAG